GCTGAACCTTTTCACATCTGTGATCATAAATACAAAGCCGCTCATTGCAGCCACTGCAGTCATTTTCATATCTTTCGTTTGTATTGCTAATCAGATGGTTATTGATTGAGTGCGCTTTTGAAGGTAAAAAAGTCAACATAATGTAACCGGTATTGATTTCTGCTTTCATATTTTATGGGCTGTTAATCGTTAGGGCCAAGTCCAACTTCTGCTTTGCTGGTTTGTTGCTGTTCTATGTCACTTCTTGCCACAACACCTGTCTCTGTAGCGTTTTCTACATGTATTTGTTGATTGCGCCGAAGGGAACAATATTTGTCACTGACAACTCTCACATGTTTTCTTAAATCCCCCTGCCCTAAAGGGGGTATATACATGTATGCTAATAACTTTGATTCATAATGCTTTACATGTGTGGTAGGCATACTCTCACGGTTTTGAATTACCTTTGGGACCAGAGCACTAAAGGCTTGTGATTTTAACCTTGGGTCTTGAAGCATCAGTACCAATGAAAGCCTGGTAGTCTATTTTTTGAACAAGTCAATGCACAAATGTTTCTGAAATTTTTCAAAAAGAGAAGTTGTAAAAGAGCATGTATGTTTTAACTTTTACATCACTTCCAAGACAGTATACATGTACACGTATGTTTTAAAAATAGTGGTTCTGAAATTGTTACTGTGTTGGTCTTACACAAAAACATGGCCGTGTTCGAAATGGGCTTCCAGAGCTACGGCTATGTTTCTGTCACAGTATATTTTAAGAGGAAAATGTAGCGGCGTTATAATCCAGTAGATTTTTTTTCATGACATTCGACCCCTAACCCTCAGAAAAATATGTGAATTCAGCGGATGCTTCATGTACAGGGTACATGCATGTACTTGTATGTATTAAAATCACTCTTACTGTGACACAGAAAGGCTGAGTCAGCCTTCTGTGGATTGAGTACTCAATTTGGTTGTACCAAAATCTCAAAAAAAAAATGTAAAGAAAGAGGAACTTATGGTTGGGTATTGTTGTATGCATTTTGGAATGCAGTTGCTTAACCATCACCCAGTGAAACGGAATATACCACAATATAACAGGTGGGCTATTAGCATGGACTCTTTATTTCTAAATTATCCTATTTCAATAAAATGACCGTACACCACAGAGACTACTGAAGGGAATTATTACATACGTGTACATGTAAACTACATGTACATGTTGGAGAGGACACGAATCTTGCAGGGCAGTTCTTTTGTACCACAGGGAAACCTCCTTTGTGCACACCCTGTGGAACAGAGGCACTGGCTGCAAGATGGCAGCCATGTAAACCCTCTATATGGGCCACACAAGCCTGGTTAGCCTTTGTTCATGTAGCCGCCTGCACATGTACTTGTACATGTAATCTACATGTACGCACATGTACCGTAGGGCTTATTGTACACAGATAATCTGCCTGCTAATGTCTGTCTGTGTGTAAAACCCGTATCCTCCCTGAGTGATCCCTGTTAAGCACTTCCCAGTTTATATCGTGTATAATGTAATTGGGGTGGATCTCTGGCTTCATGGTGCTTCAGGTTACATGTACATGGCTTCTGACTAGTGCCCCCAAACAAAGATAATTGACAAATGGCAAGAGCCACCAACATAGGGCTGGAAAGCTCAGTTGGTAGAGCACCGGTACCGTATTCAAGAGGTCGCAGGTTCATATCCCACTCTAGTCAATTTTTTTGTTCATTTAATTACATAATTATAGTAAGCATCTAGCCAGTTTCCCTAGTTTGTTTCATGATGTGCTTATAAGTTGTAAACTTAAAGGCTCAGAAAATAGCTTCTTCCTGTTTCCCCTCTCGCCATAATTTAACTACGAAAGCAATTTGGGAAAATGTGAAGTTGGAAATAACCCCAAAGAAAACAATCACATGCATGTAGTTTACTTTTTAACATTCTGCAGATAAGAGAGGAATACCAAACTCGCCTGTATCTGTGCATGGACCTGTACATGTACATGTAGTTCCCAACAAAATGTTCATTTCACTTGAGCAAACGCCACCTTATACCTTTGGCGTTTGTTTTTCTCGTTATCCTTAACCCTAACCCGCCCCAACCGCACAGAATTAAACAGTAGTAAAGTAGTATGGAGATATGCGCAGACAGCGTTAATGTGAAATCCGTCTATATGCTGATGTGGGGGTTACATGTGTACACTGTACATGTACATTGTAATTCACATTGTTGTGTTTTCTGCATGATGTGCACATATGTCGGTAATTCCAGAAATTAGGGGACCAAAAGTCAGTATTGCAGGAGAGACCATTAAAGACCTTCACAAGACCAACAGAAGACCCCCAGTCTGAATTCAAGTCACAAGCTACATGTATTCAAATGAACTGTGACAAAAGCATTCCTTTGTCATTGTTCACCCTGTTGTGGCCGGTCTTGTGTCTGGTCTTGTGACGGGTCTTGTGCATGGTCCTGTGTCTGGTCTTGTGACTGGTCTTGTGCATGGTCCTGTGTCTGGTCTTGTGCATGGTCTTGTGACTGGTCTTGTGACTGGTCTTGTGAC